TGAGCATTCTGGCAGAGTTCCTGCAGCCTGAGATGCTCTTTCTTCTGCATGACAGATGACAGGTCGTTTCTCCACATTCAGAGGCCTCTGTGGACACGCCCCTTCCCTCACACCTTTGCCAGGCTTTATCCCTGAGATTCGTGTTTGTGGGTTTGTTTTCATTTCCTGCTATCTGCTCCATGTGCCCCCACCCCCAGAGCAGGCGGCTCGTCTGTCTGTTCCTGGCTGTGTCCCTGCTCCCACCTCAGTGCTTGCACACAGAAAGCACTTGAGGAACTGCGGTTGCTCGGGTGAAGGTGTCCAGCCCTGTGCCCAGCACTTAGTAGGTCCACAGAAAACAGGAGTGCTTTCCCTAGGACACTCGGCGCACACAGCAGCTTCCTCGCTGTCTTATTCCACCTTAAATCCAGCCTCAGTGGGCTTTCTGCTCTCTGCCAAAGCAAACAGAGCATTCAGTCTACTCGCCACTCCTAATTGTCTTATATTTTTCCCGTCAGCCTAGGCCTGGCCCCAAGGTTCCCAGTCACGGGTCGTTGTCTCCCTCGCTACTCTCAGAGCCACAGAGCAAGCGTGAGCAATTAGAGCTGGAAGCTGCCTTGGCCACCGAGTCAATACCCCACCCGCAGGGCGTCCTGCCCACATGGCAGCAGGGGTCATGTCTCGTCCCAGCCAACACCTGCCAGGGGCCTGCTGGACCGGGGACCCCACACGTGCCAGTTCATTGCATCCTCATAAGGGCATGTTATCCCCATATTTCAGAGGAGGAAACTGAGGTTCGTGTAGTTAAGGGTCTTGCCTGGTGTCCTAGCTGGAAGCGACAGAACCAGTGTCTGAGACCAGGCCTGTCTCACTTCAAGGTCGGGTCCTCACACAAGGTAGAAACAGAAAGGGTCTCAGGGCAGAGGGAAGAGGCCGGGGCCAGCGGTGAGAAGCTGACCTCAGGGAGGTGGCTCCTTCTGGGTGTGGCCTGCCCAGATGAAACCACAGCCCCGTTGGCCCCTGGGCCCTGGGGCAAATCACTTGCTTGGGCGTTGAAGGCCTTTCTGAGATGCAGAGATCCCTCCGCACCTCCACTGCTTATGGGATAAAGCCCAAGGTCTCCTGCCGCACAGAGAGGGCCTCCGCCGTCAAGCTACAGCCAGGCTTTCCAGAATTATCTCCCCAGCACAGGCCACACTCCAGCTTCTTATATGGCACCCAGACATGCCCTGCATTCTCCACCCCCACCCTCAGCCTTTGCTCCAGCCCGCATGTCTGTCAAAGTCTGATCCACCCTGTAAGGTTCAGCTTAGAACCCAAACCCACAGTCCCTTCATTTCAGCCTCATGGCAGATACTGTAACTGTCCCCATTTTACAGATGAGGAAACTGAGGATGGATATTAATGTCTTGCCTGGAGTCGTGCAGTGAAGTTGGGGGATCTGGCAGCAGTTGAGTCCCTCCACCTCACTTCTCCCTAAGCCCCCCAGAACTGATCCTAAAGGAGGTGAGTCTTTTTGGGGTTAGGGGCTGGAGATTAGACCAGAGGTCCTAAGCCCCGAGGTAGTCTCCTGGGCCCTGGGCCCTGTGCACCTGTCCCCAGCCTTTGATGAGATGTACCAGATTACATTTTCTGATTCAGGGATCTGACTCATCCTTGCTCCTGGCCAGTGGGAGCAGAAGCCTCCCAGCAGGGGACAAGCTGACATTCCTTTGGGCTCACAGGAGTCTTTGGGCTCACAGGAGTCGGGAGGGAAGACAGCTGAAGGAGAGGGGAGTTGGGGCAAGTGGTTGGGGGGCAGTTTCAGTCATCTCTGCTCCTGCAGGTTTGTTCGGAGTGGATGCTGCTGCCTCCCACTGTGGAGCTGGCTGTCCCCACCTTCCTCCCAGGGCCGCCACTGGCCTGAGTGTGCACCCTGCTTCCCGGCTCTTCCCCCCTCCTTCCCTTCCTCGGTCACTCCTGACCTCTAAAAGCTTGGGAACTTCATCTTCAGGCATCTCTCTGCCCCTCTCTCCCTCTCTTTCTCCCCACCCCTCAGCCCTGCACCTGCTCTGCTTACAGAATCTCCCTTCCACCAAGGTTATCCTTAGAGACCTGCTTGAGCCTAGTTTGGATTCACTCTCCTACCCCTCCAGTGGAGCTTTCAACCTTACAGGGCAGTGCTTAACACGGGGGAATGTGGTGATAACGGTGGAATTTCAGGCATTCAGCAATTGGACTTGTAAGCTGCATCTGGCCTTCCAGGCTCAGCAGACCAGGAATTTGGCACGTCTAGGATGCTGCAGATTTGTTCTCTGTACCTGAGGCTAACGGAAGGCATGTCTTCTTGGCAGCATGCAGGTCTGGCTCTCGGCTCATGGAAAACTACTGGGACTGATTGGTGGGGCTCTGGCCTGGACCTCAGTGGAGTCCAATGACTTGGGCTGAGCAGAGTTGTCCCAGGTATTCGAAGAGCCACACCTTCTCCCCTTGGCCAGCTGGCTCTCCAGGCTGGCAGTTGGCAGAAAGCTGGCACCTTGGTAACTAATATTGGTGGCAGGAGTGACAAACTCACATGGTTTCAGGGGCGAGGCAAACACAGTGAGAGTGTGGAGCAGACTGGAGTAAGCAATAGGGAGGAGTGGGGACTGGGGCAACTGGAGAGTCCTGATGTGCCTAATGTAATTCAAAAGAAAATATGTTCTGGCTCCCTGACTGACTGCCAACCTCTGTTAATGCATTACAGGGTCCACAGCTCTTTTCCACATGGTTTCATTGAATTATCATCTCCTTTCTTTCTTACAGTAATTACCCCCACTTGGCAGATGAGGACACTGGATCTTAACAAGGCTAAGACATTCTCCTGGACTCATTTAAGGCAGTGATTTGTGGGCAGTGGCTTGAAGATATGCAAAGAGAGTTCTCTGCCCCGACTTTCTCACGGCTCATCACGTTTGGAGGTTGAAATACAACTATCCGAGTCAACCGTTAGGGACGTGATCTGTTCTAACTCAGGATTTCCATTCAAAACGTGCCCCTCCTCCTCCCCCCGTAGACTAATTCTGTCCCACCTGTGACAGCGCATCCTGCTGTTCGCCCCATCATGAGGGAGGATCCAGGGGGCCGATGGTGGGGGCCAAAGAGGGGACACGGAGGGCCAGAGGAACAGGGCCCCTGATGGGAGAGAGAAGCCGGAAGAAGACTCTGAGGCCTGGAGGGCCAGATGCTGGGACAGCCCCGTATCCCTCGGCTCCGTGCCTGCCCCACACCCACTCACAGGCAAGGGCACTTCCTCGTGGAGACACGGCCTTGGAGGTCTGGAGTCAGACCTGCCACCCATGGCCTTCTGAACTCCCTGGACTACAGTTTCTTCGCATAATACAGTGACATGCAAGTTATAATAAGCAGTGACACCAAACACACTTCTGCACGTTTTACCTATTAACTCGTTTAATCCTCACAACGTTTAATCCTCGTTTAATCCCCGTAATCCTAGGAGGTAGGGACCGTTATTATTTCCATTTTGTAAATGAGGAAACTGAGGCACAGTTCATGCGAATGCAGAATTTGGAAACTGAGCAGGTTGTATAAAAGACAAAAGCTGTTCATCAGTTCCCAGCTCAGTCCAAATCATCCATCTATTCATTCCACAAACCCTGTTTCCAGGCGCCAGGCTGAGCGCCAACATTATGGTGGGGCACATAGACCTGGAAACCAATTATTATGAACAGTATGACAAATGAGACCTGATAATGTGCACTGCGGGGGTCCAGAAGTGTGGGGAAGTCTGGGAAGGCTTCCTGGAGCAGGTGACACCAGGCAGAGAAGGGGAATTGCTCAAAGTGAGAATGGTGGGTGCAAGGGCCCAGGGCAGGTGTGAGAGACATGTCACACTTGAGGGGCACCAGGAGGCAGAGTGCGGCAGGGGTGGCAGAGGAAGGGCAAGGGAGCTGGGTTTGGGATTATACTACAAGCCAAGGGGAACATTCAGATTCTATCCTGAGGCAACAGGCCTTGAAGTAGGGGAGGAGGGGCTGGCTGTCTTAAATGTTTTTGCTCAAAATGTTTAATAGGTTCAGATTCGAAAAGCGTGAAAGGTATCCAGTGAAAATTCCTTTCAACCCCGTCCGGCCACCCAGGGCCCCTCCTCACGGTCAACCAGTCTCATTCATTTCTTACGTGTCCTTCCGGAGAGATTTTATTTCGCTTATATAAACTAATCTCTCCCCCAGCCTCCTTCTCTCTCTTTTTATTTATCTTTACATTTTTAACCCCAAAGATAGCACACTCTTTATGCATCTCTGCACCTTAATTTTTTTCACTTTAAGAATGCGTCATGACGTCTTCTATTTTTGCATGGCTGCGCCAGGGTGCACGGCTAGGGGACGCTGTGCTTTATTTAGTCAGCCCCTATTGATGGACATTGTGGTTTTTCCTAATGTTGAGCTCTTATAGTAAAGGTTGCAATAAATAATCTTGTACATATGTTATATCCTCTGTGTACGAATACACCTTCAGAAAAAAACTTTGCAGAAGTGGAATCACTGAGGCAAAGTATACATAAATTTTATTTGCATTAAAATTTTTTTTATTAAAGTTTAACTTTCAAACAGTCAAGTGTACAGCTCAGTAAGTTTTGCATGTGCACACATCTGTGTAACCACCGCCCAGATCAAGGTGTAGCTTACTGTAGGACGTTTCCAGCATCCCCCTCATACCTTGGCCTGGTCAACACACACCCACCAAGGTAATTGCCTAATCTGACCTCTATCCTCATGCATTGGTTTGGCCTGTTTCTGAGTTTTGTATAAATGGAATCGTAAAGAAGGTACTCTCGTGCCTGGTTTCTTTTGCTCAACATTGTGTCTGAGACTCATCCATGTTGTTGTGTTCATCTGTAGCTCTTTCTCATTGCTGGCTATATTCCATTGTCTGAATATACCACAATTTATTTATCCATTCAACTGTTGACGGGCACAGGGCTTACTTCCAGCACTAGGCTATTATTAACAACGCTGTTATATACATTCTTTCGGGGGACATTATAGAACTCATATCCTTTGGTTATATGCCAACGCATGGGATTGGTCTGCACATTTTTAATTTGGTGGGTATTGTCGGTTTGCCATCCACAGAGGCTGGTGCAGCGTGAGGGACGGCCTGTTCCTTCTTCTGCGTGGAAGCACTCAGCTTAGCACAGCTCCTAGTGTAGACTGACACATTAAAACCACGTGCCCCTGCTCCAGAGGTCATAAGAAAATGCTTCGGGAGCCCTGAAGCCCCACTTGGAGCAAGCGATTATGATTTTGCCATCCTGCCTCACCAGAAGGATCAGGCGAGAGTGAGGAGGAGCAGGGAAAACCACCTCCATCCCCAGAGAAGCCTCGATAATTAGTAATAATAACCCCTTCCGTCACGTCGCTCTGGCCTTTCTAAAGCACTCTGACGTGCACCAGTGGTTCTCAGCCCAGCTTGCATTAGGGTTCTCTGGGGAACTTTCCAGAAATACCAATGTCAGGGCCCCACCCCCATGATTCTTATTTAATTATTCTTGGGTGGAGCCTAAGCATCAGTATTTTATAAGCTCGCCAGACAATTCTAGTGTGAGGCCAAGGCTGGGAGCCAGTGATAACCCGGAACATCATCCCCTGACGTGGGAGAAACTGGTAAGGTGCTGGGTGCGGGAGGGATTTTTACGTAGTATCTGCAGTATAACCACTTGCTTCCCCTGCGCCAGGAACAGTGCTAGAGCTTTATAGCCCTCATTTCATTTGAGACTGTATGAGAAAGGCATTACAGCTGTCATTCCCAGGTACCACTGAGGAAAGGGGCTGGGTCGGGGGACTGCCCCAGGGCCACGCAGCTGGGCAGTGGCAATGCTGGGTCCAGAGCGAAGGGCGTCTCTGCAGACTGGCACTCATGCTCACACCTGCCTCCAAGTCCTGCCCACCCTTGTGCCCAGCAAAAAAGACTAGAAGGAAATCCACCAAAAGGCTAATGGTGGATATCTTCGGCTGGTGTGATTATGGGGAATTTTTTCTTCCATGTGCTTTTCTGCATTTTTTGAGTTTCGATCAGTGAGCATGTATTAGGCGTATCATCACAAGCTAATAAAAGTCCCTTCAAGTTGCTGAAGTAAATAGCATTGCCATTGTCTGGAGGAGCAAATTGAGTCCAAGGGCATCTGAAGGGACTGAGTGACTGAATCGGGGCCACACTTGTCTCCCTGGCCCACACAGCGCTGCAGACGTCTCAGGAGGTAAGACAAGTGTTGTCTTTACCTGTAGGATGGGGCTCTGGGAAGGTGCAAGAAAATGTCCCAGATTAAAAGCTTGTTTTAATTTGATTATAGATGCTCTTGTAGAATAGCTGGGAAATACGGAAAAATGAAAATAAAGCAAAATAACTTGACATCTCACCACCCAGATGTAAACGGTGGTAAAATTTGAGGACCTATTCTTTCAGACAAGTCTCTATCCACAAATACTCATACAGATCTGAATAAACGTAGTTTTCCATCGGGGTCATGCTGTAAGCATGCGGTTTTGCAACCTTCTTTTTTTAATTCAATATGATGTCATGTGCATGTCAACGAATAGAGATACCTATCAGTCTCGGAATGCCTGCATATTATTGTGTAGCTATGCCATAAAATATTCAGCTATTCTCCTGGTGGTGGACACGTGACTTGTTTCTAACCACATCTTATTTTAAATGTGTCGGAAAATGAATATTTTAATATAGCCCTACCGAAAACTCTAAAGTTTTTTTGGTTGTTCTGTCTTTATAGAGTAAAAAGTGGCTGAATTTGAGTGTGTGAATGTGTGAGAGTGTGTGTGTAAATATGAGTCTTCATGGGTTGACTTTGATTTAAATAATTTAATTTAAAGAATATTAATCCCACAGAAATCTTATCAAGCCTTTTCTCTCTCTCTCTCTCTCACATACACACACACGCGTGCGCACATACACACACACACACACCTCAGGCAATCTCGATCTCCCTGCATGCAAGGCGCTGGGGCTGCAATGGAGCTGCCTGTCCAGAGGCAGTCATAATTGACTGGCTGAGGGCATTAAGTCCTTGATTAAACTGGCTGTTCATTTGAAGGGACAATTAACCCAGTTAATATTCCAGGCCAGCCCAGCGGGTTCGTCCCCATCAAAGGACATACTGAACAGAAAGTGGCTGCATCACCTTTATAGAAGAGAGTAGGACTCTGGGGTCCTTACCCAAGGTCCACCACCCAGGCCAGGCTGGGGCCATGGACACTTCAAAGCAAGGAGATTCCAAGCCCAGCCAGCCTGGAGTTGTGTGAGCTTGAGTTTGTGGATGGAAAAGGATGTTTCTTCCAGGGAAGTTTTCTCTCACAGATGAGGCCTCCCCGTCTGCTTGACTTTGTCACATCTGCACATGATTCTTGGAGCTTCAGCAGCCATCTTGTGACCATGTGGGGATGTCACTGGCTCTGTCCTACCTCTGAGCCTTTTGCTATGTCACAGCTTTCTTATTGTTGAAGCCAGTTGGGTTGGGGTTCCCTGTTTCAAGCAGCAGGAAGCATCGTGACTGATAAAATGGGTCCTTCTCATCACCCACCAGCTTCCTGGGGGAGTGGAGGTGAGGAAGCAAAGAGACAGGGAAGAATCTTCCTCCTTTTTCTCTTCCAATGCCTGATGACAGTCACAGGGTAAGGTCTCCCCCAGAGCACACGTGTGCCAGTTGCTTGGATCCTAGAAGGTTGAATCCCGTAAGTGTACTTGTTCTGGCCCTAGAGGTCAGCCACGGAGGTGACTGTGCTGGGGGGAGCAGGGAGAGGAAGCCACGGCCTGGCCTCGATGAGCTACTTAGGTTGGACAGGGCCAGAATATGACTGGCCAGCTGTCAGGCCTGGCCGGGGATCCACAGGCTGGCAGAGTCCAAGAGTGGGCAGGAGTAGGCGCAGGTGAGCAGTTTGGTGGGCAGTGCCAGCTCCTGCAGGAACTAGTAGAACTAACACCCATGATGGAATCGTGTCTTCATGCCAGGCGTGTGCTATGGGTTTGCATGTATTGCCAGTATCATCTTCCCCACACCTGGAAGATACGTGCTGTAACCCTATTTTCAGACAAGGGAACTGAGGCCTAGAGGGGTTAAGTGGCTTGTCCAAAGGCACACACTGAGGAAATTGGAGGCAGATTAAAATTTAAGATCGTACAACTCCAAGCCCTTAACCACCCTTTGTCAACTTATGTGTCCATCCATCCAGACATCCAGACACCCAGCCATCATCCATTCTTTTGTTTGTTCTACAAATATTATCTGATCACGTGCCAGGCACTGTGCCAGGTGCCAGGAATAGAGTGATGACAGCCACAGACCCTGCCTTCTCAGCGCCCTGAGTGGGCAGTGGCACCCTTGACTAAGGGCTAATGACCACACTCAGGCTATGGGCCAGTCTTCTCACATCACCCAGGCAGGATTTGTGAAGATACTTTCTCATTGCTGATCCCCTTTGGAATGTTCTGAGCCAGGAGATCACAGTCCCTGCGTTAGGCTTGTCTTGGCCTTGTGTACTTATTGTACTTACAAGCTCGGTGTGACCTTGAGCAAGGCACTCTCTCTCCAGGGCCTCGGTTTTCTCATCTATAGAACTGGGATAAAAATGTCTTGTGTGCTCTTTGCAGGGGTGTTGAGAACATGAAAGGAAATTCTTCTCTTAAAGAACTTTGCGAACTCCAATGTCTTAGGGGAATATCAAGCAGTAAATCTATTCACCCACGTTTGAGGAAATGGGCTTCTCTTTTTAGTGACCAGCAAGTCTCAGATAAAAATAACCTTTGAAAGCTCATTTGTCATGTGCTTCAGACTTGTCCAGCAAGCACCACTTGGGAACCCCAGAGCCTCACATGTGCCTATGTCTTAGCTACCCCCACCCTGGCCCCGTCATAAAGGAAGGCGCTGAGGCCCAGATCACTAAGTACAGCCAAGGATGCACAGTGACTCAGATGCGCTGGTCCAGGGCCTATCTCAACACCATGGCTGCTGGCCATGCCAGGAGAGGGGCTGCTGTTGGCTCAGATATTCTTTGGGGTTCTGCACCAGGAGGGTGACAGAGATGAGTATGTTTTCTTCCAGACGTAAAGGAGAACAAGCGTGGCTCCCTAGTGGCTCTGGGGTGGAGCGACCTGCCAGGTGAGGGGCAAAGCGGAGCTGACACTGCTTGACACAGCAAAGGGGTGCCCATCGCCCGGTGGGGGAATGAGGAGGCTACAACCATCGTAAATTCCTGGAAGGGGAGCTTCCCGTTTGTATAGAATCTATAGACTCCTGGGCTGACAAATCCCACATTTAAAGGTTGAAAATACGAATTTCTTAATAAGGTAGAGGCTGGTTTTCATTTTTCTCTATTAAAGGCATTTACAAATTATTTATTGATTAAAAGGAATAGAAAAGAAAATCACCACCAAACCTCACGTCACTATGATTTATCTGATGTAAAGGTTTAGGATATCCCGAACAAGAGCTGGGGCTTCAAAAATGCAGAAATAAATTTTTCAGTGCCAAAGAATCAATAAACTACACTCAAGCTGAGACATAAAGCAGTATGTGGAAGGAGCTCTGGAAGTCAGAGACGTCTATGGAGGTATGTGTGTGTGTGTGTGAGTGTGCATATATGTGTGTTCATGTGTGTGTGTGAATGTGTGTCTACATGTGTATGTTGGATGTTTGTGTGTCCTTGTGTATGTTGTATTGTGTCTGTGTGTATGACAGTGTGTGTTTGTGTGTCTTGTGTATGTGAGTGTATATGTTGTATATGTGTCTCTGTGTGTCTGTGTGTTTAGCATGCGTGTGTCTGTTCACATGTCTGTGTTTGTGAGTGAGTGTGTGTATCTGAGTGAGTGTGTGTGTGTATGACTTGGAAGTGACCCACTGCACCTGTTCCATGATTACACAGCGAGCAGTGGGGACTGAATAAACTGGTATCCGGGGGGCACTGGCGTGCTCAGCTATCCCATTGGGCCTCTGATGGGTTCAGTTTTCCTCCCCTTCCCCTGGAAGTTTGCCCGCTGACCTTTCACCCTCCCTGCCCCTCACATGTTTGTGCAGGCCTTCCTGCTGCCCAAGTGCTGCTCCAGGCACTGGCAGGAGGCCTAGCCCTTTGCCTGTTACAAGCTCAGCCATCTCTTGCCCTTACACCCCGTGACCTTGGACAGCCTCTTCTCCTCCCTGGACCTCAGGCAGGAAAGTGAGGTGGTGACAGGCTCCTCTGGCTTTGACATTGTCCACATGGAAGCTTCCTGCCCCTGGTGAGCGGGTGGGATCTGGGACCTCGTCCAGGAACCATCACACACCCCACACTCCCTTCCAGACTAGACACTCCTTCAGGGCAGGGACGAGCACTTCAGTGTCCCAGCACCAGCAGAGGGCCTGGCACGGAGCGGGGCTGTGGAAGCACGTACAGGAGGAGGGCAGGCTGACTCAGTGGAGCCAGTGCTCCTGGAGCCTCCTCCCCGGCACCCCAGCCCCAGATGCAGCCCTCAGAGCTCTCACTCACTCTCTCTCACCTTGACTGCACCAGGATCACCTGGGGAGTGTTTACAAGTAGTGGTGCCCAGGCCCCGCAGACCAAGTGAGTCAGCATTTCTGGGTTTGAGGTCCAGCCATCTGCATTCTCATTATTCCCCAGATCACTCTAACACATGGGGAGAATGGAGAACCGCTGTCGGGGTGACCACGGCATCTCCAGGCACTGTCCACAGACTCTGTCTCATGGACACCGAATCACAGGTCTGCAGCCAGCACTCTGCTTCCAGGTTTCCTGCCGAGCTCATAAAATACAGATTTCAGGACCACTCCACAGTTTCTCACTCCAGTGCTCTGGCCTGGACCTGGAAATCTGCATTTACATCACCTCCTAGGCCTCTGGGACACGCGGGTCCTTCTGGGACCCAGTGGCAGGAGGCTTCAGTGGCTGAGCCACCTACAGTGTGGTGCGCATGCCACAGGCTGCTTTAGAATAAACATCATCAGTGACAGGAAACCCTAACTTCCCCTAACTGACCCCCTCCTCAACTCTCATACATCCTTTAAAAACCAGTCTGCTCCTGTTCCTTCCTTTTTCGGTGGCTCTGATGACCAGACCCTAATCTCTAAGGCAGCCTATGAAGACCTGTGGGATCTGGCCCTGCCTGGGCCCCTGCTGAGCCATCTCCGATGGCCGGAGGGCCTCTGTGTGTACAGCTCGCTGCCCGGCTCGCTCCTGCCCATCTCCCCACTTGGCTGGGCTAAAACTCCTGCTCGTCTCTCAGGGGTCCCCTGACCCCAGGTGGGCCCAGGTCACCAGTTTCTCTCTCCTACTGCTCCCAGAGCCCCAGGATGAATCCTGGGGCCTCCACCAAACCATACCCTTCAGGAGGGCAGGACCTGAGTCGGTTTTGCTCACCACTATTCCTGGTAACCCACATGTCTGCCTAGGGCCTCCCATGTAATGGGTGCTCAATAAATATTTGCAGAATGAATAAATGACACAATACAAACGCACACTTCTTGAGTCTCTTTGTTGCTCACTCTGAAGAGGCTTCCCAACCTCACTGAGTGAGCAGGCAGGGGAATGTATAATTGAGGATGTTCAGAAAGTGCAGAATGCCACCACACCTTGCATGTGTGTGCATGTGTGTGGGCAGGCATGGGCCTATGTGTGTGCGTGTATGTGTATGTGTGTGCCTGTGATGCCTGGTAGTTAGAGGCTGCATTTGGGTTGAACTCAGGCAGCTTGGCCCAGGGCCTTTTTCTAACAATCACACAATGGCTCCTGGGAGTCTGGTTTTTCTCCCTGGAATAGGGCCGTCCTCCAGGTGTCTGCAGTGCACAGCCGCACACAGAGCCTCAGTGCCCACAGGAAAGGGGAGAGAGGGTTCCCCAGTTGTCTGTGGTTTGACCACTTTAGGGTAGTCGAAAGAGCATGGCTCTGGAGTCTGACCGGGGTGGTTTCAAATCCAGGCCTTGCCCTTTCCTCGCCAGCTTTGTGACCTTGGGCTGCTTCCTCATTGTGCTCCTGGGCCCAGTGGGAATAATGCCAATGGCCCACCCAGCTGGGAATGTGCTGATCGGTGGGACTGGCTGGTGATGCAGTGAGCATTGTTCTCACCTTCTCAAAGGGAATCTCTCCAAACACCTGTCTCCTCCTCTTGATCCTCCACCAGTGCCCGGCACAGAGCAAGACATACAGTTGGTACTTAATAAAATCTTGTTAGCTTGATTTAGCACCTTGTTTGGAGACTGGCACATAGTAGGTACTCAGTAGTTCCCGTTCACTCCTTGAGACAGTGCTGGCCTGAGACTTAGGGACTCGGATCACAGCCCAGTGGTGTGTGTGTGTGTGTGTGTGTGTGTGTGACTTGAGCAGGCACACTCCCTCTTTCTGAGCCTCAGCCTTTTCCCGGGATGAAAGAGGAGGCTGAGCCACAGCCGCTTTGCGCCTTCCCTGTTACATTCTGTCTTGTTTGAGATGGTTCCACCTATGGCGCTGAGGTCCTGGCATGGGTGCCCTGGGAGGCTGGTGCAGATGAGGGGCTGGCTGCCAGCACACATCTGGGCGTGTTCCTGGCCTGCAGGAGCGGGAGCAGTGTTCCTTCCCTACCTGCTGATAACAGAAAGTTGCTCCTTCAGCTGAGCTGGTCCCCTCTTTTGCCCTGAGCAATTGGATGAAACTTATCAAGACTCCTCGTCTAGAATAAATATTATTGAAATGGAGCGAGTTATAAATAAGCAAGCAGCAATATCCTGTGTTATGAATATATAATTTCCACCTTTAATAGCTGACTAGGCCCCAGGGACTGTCTGAAAATGGCCTGTCTGGTCCTGATATTTTATGTTTTTCAAAAAAGGCCTTCAAACTTTTGTTTCTTAGCCCTTGGAGAGTTAAGTCTCTGGGGAAAATAATAAGAGTTGAAAGTCACAGTGAATCCATACGCCAAGGGGAAGTACTTTTTCCTGAAATTCCAGAGAATGCAAAGGCTCAGGCAGAATCCTAGAGTGAAGGCTGGGGGCGGCGGCTGAGCTTGGCTGGTCCCACCCCCTCATTTCACAGAACAGGAAGTGGAGGCCCAGGTAGGCAAAGACGGGTCCAAAGTCACACAGCAATGAAGTACATTCTAGAAGTCTAGGATGCAAGCCTGTCAGATTCACGAGGCTGTTGGCTGGCTCTCTCTTCTAAAAAGCTGGAGAGCCTGGGGCTCCCTGATTCTGGAGTCCACAAAACCTCACCAGGATGATTGACAAGGAAGTTCGCCTCTAGCGGCGGCCCAAGCTCTGGATGAGGGGAGTTGTCTGGGCTCAGAGGCAAGACTGAGAGGTCCAGTTAGCACTGGGGGCTGACTTTTCTCACTTAGATCTTCTGGTCAAATCTGCATCTCATTCTGGTTTTCAGGAGCCTCTGACGCCCATCCTTTCTGCTTCTGCGGCCCCAATACCCAAGGATCAGTGTGGTTACGTGTCACTCCAGCCTGGAGTCATGAAAAGACAGTGGGCTGTGAGGCCCCACAGATCCCAGCAGACCACTGGCCTCTCCACTTCCTGGCTTTGTGATGCCGAACACGCTGGTTGGTAACTTGATCTCCTCATCTGTCAAATGGGTATGGGGATGTTTATCAGAACTAAATGAAATAATGCGTGTAAAGTGCCTAGGATGAGGTCAGGCAGGACCCAGGTGCTATGAATCCCATCCATCCTTCCAGGGCTGCAAGCTCTTCTTCCCTAGGCCACAGCCCTGGAGCTGTGACCATCTCTCACTGCAGACCAGCCCCTGAGAGCCCTGGATTGGCGTAGTCCAGTGATTTCGTGTTGATTCATCTCATCTCTCAGGGAGGATAAATCTTCTCCAGAACCCTACATTCTCCTCCCTGGTCCCCAGCAGTGTCCGGCGTAAGGCCGGTCACACTGTAGGTTTCAATTCGGGACACAGTAAATAAGCACGTTAGTGCCAGGTACCAGGTCTAGTAATGACTATCAGTTATTGAGCATTGATGGTGTTGCATTCAGAAATGCGTTGACTCCTTTAGTCCTTAGCACAACACCGCACTGTTATCCTCATCTTAAAGAGGAGTAAAAGGAGGTTTGCCGAGGTGATTAAGTTGCTCAAAGTGACAGTGTCAGGCATGGCGGGGCTAACACCAGCCTAACGCAAAACCTCTTTTCACCCCTTTCCGTTGCCTTCTTGCAGGGTGAACTGCTTTTTCCAGGATTAGAGTAAAACTGGAAGACAAATGAATTCAGCAGCAGGTCCCCAAATGGTGGGAGCAGGGATAGGTGGGGGAGATAGTAAGGCTTGTGCAGCATGCGAGTTAAGATGCAAATGTCCTCTCTTGTGGGTCTTGAGGTACACTCATAATTATAACCCAGCATCTGAGGTTCTGATTTTGATGGCATTAGCTTTAACGGCTTTTTTTTTTTAAAGCCATTTAATTACTAATCAGTGCTGCCTTGCAAGCTAATGTGAGATGCACACTTTGCATCTGGGGACAAGGGCCCTTCTCTGTGGGCAGCTGAGAAGCCTGCCAGGGGCTGCGCTGGGCCAGCTGGTCTCCCGCCTTTGACAGGTTCCGCTGTGTCCAGTCCCCAGTCCTCTCTGCCATTGACACTTGTTTCTGAAATCACAGAATCGTATCACATCTTGGAGAAACCTCAGCAATTGGCTAGCCTAGCCCCTTCCCCCCTCACCTCACAAAATGGGAAACTGAGGTCCCTAAATGTGCCATGAGTTGCAATGACTAGAATTTGTGGGGCTTCTTTCTTACTTGCTAATTGATTTCATATACTCATTTGCATTCCTAATTTCAATAGTTAAAAACTTTCCAATGCTAAAACCTCATTTTCTGAAGCTAATTTAGGTCTCATTTTCATTAACAGCTTGGCAACAATCATGCAGTGGAAATTTCTCCCAGGTCGAAGAAGGAGCCTCAGCCAGGAAATTAGGGTGTCTGCTAGCTCCTGCCGTGTGTCTCTGGACAAGCTGAGTCACCTCTCTGGTCTGTGGTTTCCCTCCACAGTCAAATGAGGGGTTTGAGTTATCTCAGTGTTTTTCCAAACACTAGTCTGTAAAACAGAGCATGCCACAAGATGTAAATATTTATTATTCAGAAAAAAAAATTTCTTTTGAAAGGTTACATGGCCTAATAAGTTTGGGCAATGCTGGATTCAAGTTAAGTGTCGTTTGTTTGCCAACATGTGCTATGTGTCATCACTATTACAACACAGTGCCCTGTGGCCCTCGAAGAGGAGGCTAGCTTTTCATGGCACATTTGTCAATGTCTTTTGGAGCACAGGGCTTCCCAGGAGCTTGGAATGGGAAACCGAGGAGGGTGGGTCCCAAGTCTCTTCTGCCCTTACTCTCTGGGACTTCTGGGACTCTAAGACTCAAGGAATAAAGGAGACAGCTCTTGAGACATCCTCTTAGCCATAAGACTTAGACCACTCGCTTCCCCAAAATGTCCCCATGCTCATGTTTAGGGGCTCCCTCAGACCGGACCCAGTGTCCATCTTGGGGTCTGATTTTGCCACTCGGCCAGGAAGCTTGCGCCGACCACACCAAAGCTCACCACGCCCTGCCTCGCTGCCCCGGCCAGCCCTTGCTCCCTTCAGCCCAACAGGCTCCTCCCAGGTGAGCCCATTTCTTTATCCTTCCCAGTGCATCATTCCCAGGCTTACCGCCACAAAGCCTTGCTCAGAGGCAGCAGTCTCAGTGCCCTGGAAGGAGCCCAGTCTTGGAATCAGAGCCAGATTCAAATTCTGTCTTTGCGACTTCCTTGTTATGTGGTTCTCAGCCAGCGGCTGAACTTTCCTAATACAGACTGAGCAATGGTCGTGGTCCTCACTGACTAGACTTAGGGTAAAGATGAAAAGGGCCTGACATTTTGCTTGGCTTAAGTTCCCTGGAAAACAAAGCCTGAGGCAAAGGCTGGTGTGCTCCTGCCTTTTTAAGGAGTGCAACTCCTGGGACGCAGGAGTGAGGGAGAGGTTTAAGCAGAGCTGGAGACAGGAAAAACTAAGAGAATAAAAGAAGACAAGAGAATGTTGGCTACCCAATGGCGTCAAGCATGATGGACTGATTGATCTCATGAAAATGTCTTTCAGAAGACTACATGGGGACTGTAACTTAGGATGGTCCCTCCAGGCGGAGTAAGGGAGAAGAACGTATCCATAGGCTCCTACATCCCATTGCTGAAAGGACTGCCCCATGGGGTCTTTATTCCTCTATGCTTCCTGGTGGCACAGGTATGGGTACTGCATGGATCTTGTTGATTTCAGGACTCAATATCAATAGGAGAGCCCCAGAGCAAGGGTGATAATTGTGTGGCACAGACAGGAGATGTGCCTACATTAATTGATCAGAGTCACACAGAGTTGGCCACTGCAGTGGAATGCGGTGGGAACAAATGTTTAAGCCCCTAGAAACAGCTGAGGTCAACAGGATCTGAACTCGTGCATAAGAAGTGCCTGTCCGTCTACCCCTTGTCCACCCAGATCTGCTCTGCCCTCCCACTGTGTCCTGCTCCCACGCTGTAATCCAGGGCCTCAGTTTTCTGTGAAAACAGGATGTTCTCTCTTTTGCTCCAAGAGGAGGGCTCAAGTCCAGTTAGTCATGGAGTCTCCGTCCAATCTCCAGGAAGACTTAAGGCAAAAGGGTTGGTGAAACAAGCCACTGTCCGTGCTGCCTCAGCTGCTCCTGAGGCCCTAATGGAGTCCATCACATCTCCGCTCCACCACTCAATCTTCATGTCCCTCATCCTCAACTAGCAATTTCGCTGATCTGCGTTGCTTACCAGGCGAGGTGAGCCAGAGCATCATCGGAAAGGGGTCTGAGCTCTTAGTTTGCCCAGTCCTCATGGAGCTGTTATTGCTGCAATTGCTCAGTCACAAATCCTTTGTATCAGGCAAAGGGGCACAAGACACCCCAGAGAATCCCTGTCCCCACCGGCAGTAAAAGCCCTTGCCCCTCACAGTAACCATGGTAAATTACCCCGCCCGTGTGGTGACTCCTTTCTCTGCTCACTAGTCCACTGACATGAGGGCCTAAAGTCACGGGTGGTAATCACAGCTTTAAGTCCAGTGGGATCCTTACAGTGTCACCTGCAAGAAGCATCAGCCTCACAATAGAAGTGACAGCTGCCTGGGGAGGAGGTCCCCCTAACCTTGCAAAGCCTAAGTTTTGTTGGGACAGGAAGCAGAGGGTCACCGGGAGTGATGGCAACAGCAGATGAGCTTTCAGCCCTCGACTCGCAGATAGATCCATGTATTCCAGTAGTGGGGACAGCACCATTTACTGCTTGTTGGTTAGGTGCTGAGACACATCCTAAAGGACAGTACTTTAACCTCGCAGGGGGCTGTCCCCAAGCTGGCAACTTAGCTCAGCCCTTGATGGGCCATTTCACCACTGTAACAGACCCCTGCTTCTGGGTGCTGGGTACCTGATTCCAGGGCCATGTGTCCATCATCATAGCTCTTTTGCCATACAATGGTCGCTTGATGGGAGTCAGTGACATGAGGAACTATGCAGGTAAATAAGGCATCCGCAGCCTTCACATGCTGGTGCTCCTGGAGGCGCTGAGCGGAGGGAGGAGAAACCTCTACCCGGTAAGGACCAGTCAGCATTCTCCCAGGGAGAGGAAGGCTCCAGCGTGATCAAGCCATCAGCGACTGGTGGGCTAGTCTTCTGTAGGGATGGTCTCACACGGAGGGCTCAGGGGCAACATTTGCCATTGACATATTGGGCACAGTGGAGGGAATGAGATGAGCCTTGATGAGAGGGACCCCCCTGCTGTTGGGGCTATTCGTGGCTCACACCCTTGCCACTATGGTCGATGAGGCAGGGAGAGAGGCTGGCTGACACACACAGGATGGGTCCTGCCCTCCTATTGTCAAATGCCTCTCCGGCAGCAGGCACTAATATGACACCCAACACCTGATGTTGTGTGCCTGTTCTCATAGGTCCTCTCAGATGCCTTTTCCCTGATCTCTCACTTTTCTTCCTTCCAGGCCCTTGATCAACCAGCCAAGCCATTTCCCACTGCATCTTTGTATATACTTTCCTCAGATCACTTTTCCTTGAGCTCTGCCCACCCAGGGGATGTCCTTTCACTGCTGTCCCTTCGGGCCGTCCAGATTGGGACCGTAACACAGCACAGTCTGTTTTCAACCACTGATGATATGTCATGTTGACCCATGTATGAACAAGGTGCAAACTTTCTTCTTCTCTGTCAGGTGATCGTAGACAATCCCGAACCATGAAGTCTTAGTTGTTCATCAAGAGGAATCAGTGCGACGGTCTGGGTCACCTCATGCCTTCTGGGCATGATTGGACTTGATCCCCTTTCCACCATAAATAAACTACCCAACCTTATGACTTGGTGCATCTGATAACACCCAGCTCCTGGTGGGCAGGTCTAGTCCCATAGTCACTTGGTGTCCCACGCCAATTTCAAGTGGTACCCAGAGTAGGGGTTCTCTGCCCTGAGAATAATGGCCTTGCTCTGGAACCGGGGGGTGTCTGCCTGCAGTTCTACAAGGGCTTGCCAGAGACTCCACCTGGCAACCTTGTCTGCCGTGGAGACCTCTAGCACCATGGGACCTTTGGGTCAGATGGACCCAGTGACAGCCAGCTCAAACCACAGCCTAGATGTGCTGCAGAGCCCTCTCTTGATCTCAGAAAGTCACTTTGCTTTAACTATGTGCAACTTAGAAGATCTAGTCGGATATTAAATTTTATTTTTGTCACTTTTTTAAATTCAATTTTTTGAATAAATAAAGCATTAAAATAGTTCAAAAAATAAAAATATTAAAAAAAGGTATAAAAAGATGTGCAGTAAACATCCTCTCTTCTACCACTAATTTCCTTTCCAGCAGAAAACCACTGTGTTTAGTTTCTTGTGAATTCTTCTAGAGACATTTATGCCTATATAAGCAAATATAAGTGTGTGTGTATGTAACTTCCCATCACCACTTTTTTTTTTTTTTGGGTGGGGAAGATTGGCCCTGAGCTAACGTCTGTTGCTAATCTTCATCTTTTTTTGCTTGAGAAAGATTGTCACTGAGCTAACATCTGTGTGAATCTTCCTCTACTTTGTATGTGGGATGCTGCCACAGCATGGCTTGATGGGTGGTATGCAGGTCTGTGCCTGGGATCTAAACTGGCAATCCCCAGGCCACCAAAGTGGAGCATGCAAACTTAACCACTATGCCACTGGGCCGGGTCCACCCACTACCACCATTTTTGAACACAGTTGGTGGTTTACAGTTGTGTCCCTTACTTGTTTCACTCAACAGTACATTCCAGCCGTCTTCACACAGGAACACATAAAGAGGTTCCTCATGGCAGTTCACGACTGGCGAGGCGTCCATTTAGTGGACGTGTTGTAATCTAGTTAACCATTCTCCTACTGATGGACCTTCAGCCTGTTTCCAATCGTCTGGAAACCGGGAGGACTACAGCGAATAGCGCCTACACATGGAAGTGCGGCTTCCCAGGAGGTGTGCGTATGTCATTTTAAGGATATTTTCAAACAGCTCCACTTAAAGTTTGTATCAATTCACACTCCCACCAGTAAGTAGAAGTGTGCTCACTTTTGTGCACCACCACGTTCAGTGCATATTTTAATCTTTTCCAATCTGATCAGTAAAAAATGTTATTTCAGCATACTTTGCTTGGAAGTTGTTTTATTAAACTCTGGTATGCTTATCCCTTGTGTCACCAGTCAGATTTAAAGCTACTTGGGCTTTCACAGACTCTGTATCTTGTGCCTTGATATATAATCATGGAAATGAGGAAGAGAGCAAGAATCAGGTCTAACTCGCTTGTGGCTCTCTCCCTGGTTCCAGGTATGGTGTCTGGCCCCTAGTAGATGCTCAATAAATATTCCCTGAATGAATGAATGGGCCGAATGTGACGTTGGTCCCATCTGTGGAGCAGTTTGTATGTTAAAGAGTACTTTTTCCCCATTTTATCATCAATTCCATCCTCCCCAAAGTCCAGTGAGAGGGCACTAGAGAAGCTGATGACAGCCTACTCTGCACAAATCCCTGCCAAGGGACAGTGCCTCACCCGTAGACCCTGCTGAGAGGCCGTGGCCATGTTTCCATGTTTTATCCCATGGAATTCCCTGTGTCTCTTGCCTGATTGGACCAAGAGGTAGGCAGTTGATGCAAAGGTATCTTATTTATATACTGGCCAGCAGCCTATGATCTATGAGAACTGGCTGGAAAAGCTGGACTGGGCCAGTCAAGACTGGGGATTGGGACTCTGAGTGCAGTAGACTTATAGCTGAAAGGTCAAGAGATAGAATTTGAGTCATAGTGGCCATTATGGGTCATGAAGAAGCCATGAGCTGTGAGGGAGGACTTGCGAGCCTCTGAATGAGCAAAGGAAGCTGGACAGACAGCAAAGAAGGAAGGCCACAGATTCCCCAAGAGAAGTGAATTCCCTCATGTGGTCCTGGGAGGCAAAGTGAGAGCTGTTTCGTTACTGATGGCTTCCCAGTTGAGTTTCATGATTCCTGGGAAAAAATTTAGGATTCTGTCCTTAGATTTCCATGGGACGCCTGAGTGACCCGACAATAAACATTTCTCTACTTGAGCTGCCTGGATTGGGTCTCTGTTTCTCGCCATCAAAAGATCCCTGATTGGACTGCATTTTGCAGATTGGAATCTGAGGCTCTGAGCAATGGAGTTCAAGTTCTCTGCCTGCCCCATCCGCTGACTCAGTGCTTTGCACACGGAAGGTAGTCAGTATATGTTCGGCAATTGCCTGATTGGTTGACTGATTTCTCAGTGGCTTGATTTAAAGCAACAACAGATCTTTTAGCAGAATGTATGTTTCAAAGATGGTGGGAACAGTGACTCCCATCCCACATGCTCTTCAGCAATGCCACCTTGCCACTCCCCCATCAAGAGATGAAATCTAATCCATCTACCCTGAATTTGGGCTGGCCTTAGTAATTCCTTGTAACCAATAAAATGTGGCAGAAATGATACTGCATGACTTCCAAGGTTAGGTCATAAGAAGTCACAATCTTTTTTTTTTTTTAATTGAGTTAATGGTAGGTCACAATCTTGTGAAATTTCAGTTGTACATTAATGTTTGTCATTCGTGTTGTAGGTGCACCACTTTACCCTTTGTGCCCACCCCCCATCCCACCTTTCCCCTGGTATCCACTAAACTGTTCTTAGTCCGCATTTTTAAATTCCTCATATGAGTGGAGTCATACACAGATTATCCTTCTCTAGCTGGCTTATTTCACTTAAAATAATTCCCTTAAGGTCCATCCATGTTATTGCAAATGGAATGATTTTGTTCTGTTTTGCAGCTGAGTAGTATTCCATTGTATATATATACCACATCTTCTTTATCCAATCATCTGTTGATGGGCACTTAGGTTGCTTCCACGTCTTGGCTATTGTAAATAATGCTGCAATGAACATTGGGGTACCTAGGACTTTTGGGATTGCTGACTTCAAGCTCTTTGGATAAATACCCAGTAGTGGGATGGCTGGATCGTATGGTGGTTCTATTTTTAATTTTTTGAGGAATCTCCATACTGTTTTCCATAGTGGCTGCACCAGTTTGCATTCCCACCAGCAGTGTAAGAAGTCATAATCTTTTGCTTGATCTCTTGTAATACTGGCTCTCCAGATGCACTCACCACCCCAAAGAACCCAGCCCCGATGCTGTGAGAAGCCCCACCCACACGGAAAAGCCCAATGGGAGTGCTCTGTTGATCAGCTCAGCTGATATCCCCGCCCTGGTGCTGACAGGCGAGTGAAGAAGCCTCCAGTTACCCCAGCAGTTCAAGTCACCCCCAAGCCTTCTTCCCAGCCGAGGCCCTAGACACGGTGGAGCAGAGACACGCCCTCTCCACTGTGCCCTGTCCAAATTCCCCACTCCAGAAGCTGTGAGCTTAATAAATCAGGCTTTATTTCACCCCACCAAGTTTGGGGGTGATTTGTTACACAGTACGTAACTGACCTGGAACAGACTTTCTTTGCCCTAAAATCATGACTTCACTTCCTATCCATGTCCAGCTAAGGGTTAATAGACACCTTCTAAATTCAGTGCATATTTCCCTAATTCGAGTCCATACACAAAGGCAGAACTTTTCCAGGAGTGAGACTGGCTATAAAAAGAAGGTTCCTTGACTTTAAGCCCAAGAGAGCTTTGTTCGTTAAAACTGGTGAAAAGAGGCTTCCTGATGCATGAAGAAATGACGTCTGTTTCTTGGGTTAAACCCCCACCCTACACACACACACTCAGGATGTAGATTGACTTCTTGTGTGGACAATATGGGCTCAGTTCTCTGGGAAGTAGTTATCCAGTTAGGAAATTCTCCAGTCAAGAAAACCCACCCCGGCCATCTGGCTCTGGTGAGGGCACATAGGCACAAAGTGTGGCGGAGGAGCCGGCCCCTCCAGCACACCTCCTCCTAAAGAGATGGAGCCACCAAGGAGCCCCCAGTGCCGACATGACCTCCCAAGCAGACTGCAAGCTCCTGCCTGCACACTGCGTTGTCAGCTGTAAAGAGCTCTCCAAAGGCACAGCTGTTAGCCTGGACACCGCCTCTAAGTGAGCAGGCTTGGGAAGGGAAGGGACCATGACATGCGGGGAAAACAGATTCCCCGGCATCCTGCTGTGGCTGACGGGAGCACCCACACAGAGCTCCAGAGCTGTGTGCAGGCTCATGGTTTGCACAGAGCTCTTTCGCTGCATTCTTCGGAGCCTCTCCCCGTTAGGCAAGGCCTCGTTATTTCCGTTTTGCTAATGTGAACCTGAAGCTCAGAGAAGCTGAAGGCTATTTTAAAGGCTACAAAGCTATTAGGTGGGAGAACCAGGGCTGAGGCCTGGGTCTCTTTCTTCCTCGTCTGGTGGCCTTTGCATGGAGCTCACTGTCATTGCTCCTTGCATTTGCAGAAAACTTTACTGTTGGCAGACACTTTCACGTTCAACACGTCCTGCGTCGTATCTCCACAGAACCGGCAGTTCAAGTGAATTTGCCTACAGTCCTGCTGCGGAGCAAGTGGCAAAGCCCGGCTCTGAGAGGGTCTCATGGCTCCCAAGCCAGTGGTCCTCCCACCCCGCGGCTGCTCAACACTGATCAGCTGCGGTGAAACCCTTTCATGTGTCTCTCGCCTTTCTCCCCCGGCTGCAGGAATACACGTGAGCCTGGGAAGGGGGCTCGCTGCCAGCAGCCTTTTAGCAGTGATGTTTCTGTGATTATTCAACACTTATTAAATAGCCACAGCATGTAAGGCGCTGCCTAGCTCATCATGACCACGACTGATGTGATATTAAAAGGCAGCCGTGACTTGGGCACCAAAGGGCCGGCTGCACCAGCGTCAGGTCTCCTGCTGGGCCCGCTGCCCTTTCCCAGGCTCTGGGAGCACCCACCCCCACACCCCCTCATGGGAGGTCGTGGAGCTGATCTCCTGTGAGCCGAGGTGTGGCCACAGGAGAGCAGAGACCCCCGGGGCTGCAGCATGATTAAACTCTCTGTTGTGAGAAAGTGACACTGTGATCTGATTCATATCAGTAAATATGTGATTTACATTTAATTCTGAGTAACCTTTCTGGGCTCGGCGAGGTGTGAAGGAATCTGATGGGGCCGACTCCGTGGAGGGGGAGGCGATTCATATTCATTAAGATCTCCACATCAGCTAGCTGAAGGGTGACAGCATCCCAGCCTGCCCTCCTCCCTCTCGCCCTCCAGGGTCACAGCTTCAGGGAGGCCCACAGTCACGCTAGCTGCTATTCAGGGCAGGGGTTGTAGGTTAGCGGAGAGGGCTGGAGATGCTGGGGGAAACTGGGAGGAAAATAAACAGCAGGCCCCCAGGAGACCCTGCCCAGGCTTACGGAGCTTCAGATTGCTGCATTAGCTGTATTGATCTCCCGGACGCGGTGGGTATCCATCGAGGGGGTGGCCAGTCTCAGAGGCCCCAGCCGATCTCCTTTGTACAGATCCACAAGGCACTGTTCAGCCACCTCTGGTTCATACAGGCCTGGGGCCGAGAGAGAAACGCCAGCAAAGGCAGGTCGGGGTCTCAGGGCCTCATCCCCAAGGTGCTGAGAGCAGGGGTGCACTCCTGGCTCCTCAGGGCGTTAGTTTGGGTTTGATGCCCTGAGCTGGGATCACTGCAGGTGCATGGGGCCTGCTGAGCTTGGGAAGCAAAAGAAGTGCCCTGAGAAAAAAAGGTGCTTCTCCTGCAGAAGGGCCGTCGGGTTGCTCTCAGACCACTGGCTTGTCCGTCCTCTTGCTGGGCATAGCTGCAGGGATTGCTAACAGTCCGAGAGCTGGCGTCTGCTGCCCGCTTGCTGGGCCGGCCCCTCCCAGAGCCCCACGTGGCTCTGCGGGAGCCACAGCACTTTCCTTGGTTCTCGGTGAGGATGCTCGCAATCAGGAGTACGATTCAAGATGCGGCCCCCCAGATCACGAGTAGACCGGAGGGAGGTGACCAGGGGTCAAGGCCTCTTCAAGGGGGCCCTTACCCTGCTTGAAAATGTGCCTCTGGCCAGCCCCTGACGTTGGAGGTGTATTTTGTTTGCCCGAGACCTGTTTTTCCCATAGGGCAGGGCTGATGCTTTGCCTGGTCCCATTCTGGGCCCTTTGAGGGACTAGAAGCAAAGAGAATATGGCCTCAGCCCTCAGGGACCTTTCTCCCCAGCTGGGGACACAGCTGACCCAGAAGCCATTAGAGAAGAGAAGGTCTGGACACTCGACCTGCAGGTGCAGATTCAAGCAGAGGGTGAGACCCCGGCGGGGACAGGTGGAATTCTAGGCAAGGACAGCTTGGCCCCTAGCTGGCTGTGACCTGGGGCTGGGCTCTCAGGCCAGCTCACCCAAGGCAGGGCTGTCACCCTCAGAATCACACTGTCACCAGGACCCTACAAGTGCTGAGGAAGGTGTTTCAGAATAAACGTCCCTCAGTTGTCCCACTGAAGTAAGTGGGGAGAGTAAAATGGGGGTGGGGGGATCAGTCTTAGGTCTCAGACTGCGGCCGTGTGCTGGCGATGGGGCATCCAGCACAGGGGTGTTTGAGGGGCCCCGGGGCCGGGCGCTGTGTTCTTTCAGTACATTATGCAATGCCTGGGCTCCGGGCTCTGGGCCAGTCACTGGGCCAGACCGCCAAGGGCAGAGGGCATTTAACCATCCAGGCTGAAAAGGGCCAGGAGGGAGTCAGCAGGCGGCTGTGAGAGGTGCCTGGCCCAGGCCAGAGCGGGGGAGGCCAGGTGCTCCAGGAGGTTCCCTAGGGGGAGTGACAGCTGAGCTGGGAGCTGAAGGAGGCCAGAGTCCCCACCGGCCAGGCAAAGAGGTGGGGAAGAGTGTGCCAGGTGTCCTGGGAAAGGATGGGTGGGCGGGGTCATGAGAGACCAAGGAACCCTCAACGGCAGGCAGTGTTTGTGTGTGGGGACAGAGGAGAGACACGCCTGTCCCAGGCCCTGGCACGGCGTGTTAAGAACTTTGAGCTTATTCCCGAGGGTGATGGGGAGCTTTTGAAAACCTTCAGGCAGAAGAGCGCTAGAGTCAAGCAGGGTTTACAAAGCTCATTCCAGCTGTGCTGTGGGGAGCAGAACACGGAGGAGAGAGACCCGAGGGCGGCTGGAGCCATCCCCCAAGGAGAGGACAGGGCGCCCGACCTGGGGTGAGGGAAGCGGATCAGGCAGGGAAGGGTCAGAGGTGACTGCTGGTCAGGGTGTAAAATGGGGGACAGCATCCAGGACGATGCTCTGGCTTCTGGCATCGGTGATTCTTGGCCCAGACTAGAGAGGAAGAGGAGCTGATTTGGAAGGAAGGATCATGTGCTCCATTTTGGACCTGCTGAGTTTGAGGCTCCTGGTGAGATGTCTGGGAGGCAGCCGAATGCTGACCTGAGGGGCAGGAGACAGGTCAGTAAAGATGTGGGAGCCATCAGCTCAGAGGTGGCATGTGGAGATGTGGGCGGGCAGTGAGAGAAGAAAGACGAGAACAGACCTCTAAGCAGCACTACGTGTAGGAGGAAGAGTACACTGTGGGTGTAATCAAGACGGCGCTGTCAGCCGCCGGGGAGAAAGCTGGGACACTGCTGTGACCAGCAGCCCAGGCGAGAAAGTGTGTCAGGAAGAGGAAGTGGTCGGCAGTGTCAGGCCCTGTCCATAGACCACGTGGGATGTGGAGTTAAAAGTGTCCACTAGATTTAGCAACAAGGAGGTCAGAGGTGGCCGTGAGAGGCCAGCCTCGGGGGCCCGGAGGGGCCAAAGCCAGACTGAGAGAAGTGGGTGGTGAGGAAGTGGGAGACACTTGTGCAGACACCCCTGGTTAAGAGGTTTGGCTGCAAAAGAAAGGCCAGGATGGGGCAATAGCTGGAAGGGGCCGGCAGGTCAAGAAAGGGATGTTTTCAGGACAGAAGAGGCTAGCTCGTTGAAATGTTGATGGCTAGGAGCCAGGAGAGAGGGAGAGAGAGTGGGGACGCAGCAGATAAGGGTGAGTGGGCTGAGCAGTGTCTGAGGAGGTGCAGGTCCAGATGGGACAGGGGACCTGTGGTAGAGACGTGGAGGAAAGAAGGAGGGATGGGCATGGGTGCCCATCCATCTGCGGGTTTGGTGGGTAGGACTTGGGGGTGGATCCTACCATGCAGGGATGCTGAGTCTGGGAGCACCTGGGCCTGTGTGGGAGCGCCAGGTGGGCCACCACTGGTGCTGCCCTGTTCCTCTGTTCCCTGTCCTTCTCCACCTCTCCACTGTCCCCACAACCCGCCCCTACCCCGCAGCCCGGAAAAGAAAGGAAATGCGAAAAGGGCGGTCACCTCGTGGCCCTTGGCCCCTGCTACTCTGGTGAGACCAGCCGACATGGGAGAGGCACCAAGGAAGTCCCTGCGAGGGCCACGGCCCCAGACAAAGTGGTCGGAACTGAGGCGGAGGCCCTGCAGGTGGAGCAGGGCCCATTATCAGCCCCCTCCGAGGGCCCTGGGGGCAGCCGGGTGGGGCAGAGGGTGAAAGGAGCAGCAAGAATGTCTCGGGCTGTGCATGCATACGCGTGAGCTTGGGTGGGCAGGGGAAGCTGTTTTGCAGCTGAGGTTTGAAAAAAAGCACAAAAGCTAGAAAGAGGAATTTCTCCACAGGTCCATGAGTCCCAGAGTCTGAGATGGTGCTCGTTTCCTCTATAGGGAGCCTTCAGCTAGTGAGTGAGTAATTAGGGATAATAATAGCAAGATGGACTGGTTTTTAATCTGTGCTTGACATCTGCCATGCAAAATGTCACAGAGTGATGGTGTGGCAGAACAGGCACCCAGATGGGTGTCGTCCTGGGATGGCCTGTCATAGGGCTCTCAGGGAGTCGCCTATGGGTGTCGCCCCATCACCCCAGCGTGCAGGGGGACCACCCCTCCTCCTGCCCAGCTCCCTTTCCCGTTGTCCAGAGCGAGGCCTCTCCTCTCACAGACACCACCAAGACATGGGGCCCAGTGGGACGAAACAAATACCTGAATGCTGGGGGCAGGACCCAACCTGGGTCAGCTGGCTAGAGTCTGGCATGGTGCTGTCCGTCTGGCTGTGGCTGTTTCTGTGTTCACCTCCCAAGGCGTATTTCTCAGCCACTCAGGTGCTAGGCCTTAAGGCCCACTGCTCACTCCAGGAAAGAGTTGCTGTGATCCACACAAGGTGCCCCAGTTTATTTCGGTCTTTTTCCTTTCACAACATGTGCTGGGGAGAGGGGGCTGACGTTGGGGGAGAGGGAGGAAGGGGGAGCCTCGGTTAGTTTTCATGAAAGTTCCCTTCTCTTGGAGAGCTTCTAGGGGCTTGGCTGGTCTCCAGAAAGACAGAGGAAAGCAGGGCCATTGGAGAGGGTTGTGCAGTGTGTGCACTGCTCAAAGGCATCCTGGCAGGGCATTGGGGGTGGGTGGTGTGGGGCAAGTAGAACCTGAAACCCACCCTGAGTCCACTGGCCAAGCCCAACACTCTAGCTGGGCTGTGTCTGCAGAGAGGGGGCACCTTTTTCCAGTTCACACAAAGGCACTGTATAGGCTTAGCTCAGTCCCCCAGAGAAGCTTCCTGCACCTGTCCGCAGCCAGATGGGCCAGGGTGACCTCCACAGACAAAGGAGTATGACAAGAACCATCTGGTAACCTGGATGTGCCGCTCTGGTGACCCAGAGGAGGGCTGGGAGTCAGGGAATTTTCATTTCACAGGTCTCATGGAAAGGTGGGGGGTGTAGTGTAAGGGTGAAGCTGGCAAGAATGGGCGTGGGAGGGTCCAGGAGGGCAGGTTCAAGGCTGGGATAGGAAGAGGTCAGCAGATGACAGCACCGGCCAGGGAGTCCAGGCCGGCCCCCAGCCCAGCTCTGCCACTGCTCTCCTGGGGGCTCTTGGCAAGTCGCATTCCCTCCCCATGCCTCAGTTTCCTCAACTGACAAAGCCAGAGGAAGGGAGGGGTAGACGAGAGCCGTGACTTGGATTTGGAGTCACAAGAGACAGAGTTCTAGCTTTGCTCCCCACGGAGTCTGTGACTGCGGCCAGTTCACGTGACACATCAGAACGTCATTTCTTCCTCTGCTCAGCAGGTGGCTGCTTGTCCTCAGCCTCTTGGCCAGCCACCCAGGCCTAGGCTTGGGTTCCAGTTGCCCTCCCTCTGGCTGCCTCCCCGCCTCTCCTTCCTGAGGGGGAATCAACCAGAACAGGACTGTCTCTCCTTTAGCGGGAGGGGGTTCCGTTTCCACCAGCCCCAGGGGAGCAAGAGGAACAGGAAAATTACAGTATCAGCACGAAAATTACAATTGGAGGCGTCTGATTCACCAGGGAGGGTGACTTGTTCCTCTTTCTTTATTTTTAGTCGCTGTTATGCTGGCAAGGAGGCCTGTGCTCATTAACCTGTACTGCCGGAGTGGCGGCTCTGGGAAACGGGCTGCTGGATACACCTGCCCCACCACCCCTGTGCCCCAAGGGGTATTTATAGCCTTCCTTCCCTCTGGCGAATTAATTAACTCATGCTCGTGGCCTCGGACACTGGCTGTTGTGTTTAGTTGGGTGTCCCTTTGAGGCCTTCGAGGGAAGCGGGGAGGGGGACCGGAATGGGTGGGAAGGGAGCTCTGGCTGCAGCCCATCCCAACCTCCCCCACTCCAGCTCTGAGGCCTCCCTTGAATGTCCCTGTCCCCAGCGGAGTGGGATTGAAGGGGTCTCTTGCACCCCAACTTCACTCCTTAGAGGCTTGAGAGTTTGGGATTTTAACAGTCAGACAATCTGACCCATTTGCAGAGCATGACAATGTACTGGGGGAAGAAAAATGCAAAATAAAGCCCCTCCCCTCAGCAGGGGAGCAAGGGCCTGAGACGGAAGGCTTCAGAGTTCTCTGGGCCCAGAGCAGGGCAGCGAGAGCCCAGCTGCAGGGACGGGGGTGCCGCGGAGGACGGTGCCGACAGGGGAGGGCATCCCTCAGGGACCCGGGAGCAAAGATGGGGCAAAGGCCTGCACAGGGGAGCATGAGGGACCCCTTCAGGGTGGACTTCTCAAGCCCAGCCCCCTGCTTCACAGATGGGGGGTCTGAGGCCCAGGGAGAGGCAACATCTTGTTCATTCATTCAGCCCTCCTTTCCTTCCTTCATTCAGCATGTATTTATTAACTCCCCAGGTAGCAGATGAATTAGGGAGCCTACTCTAGGGGACCTATTCTGTCCCCTTAGTGGTCACCACACCACCTTCTTCTGTCTCCCTGCCTAACTGGGATCCAATGTGCCACAGCGAGGCCAGTGTCCACCAGGCTGCACCTGGCCAGTGCCCAGCACATTGCAGGGGTTGCTTATCATCTGGCGACCTCCTCGTCCCAGGTTTCTCCAGGAGGCAGGACTATGATCACTGCTGCAACCCTCTCCTCCATCTCCCCACCAGCACTCTCACAGCTGCCCCAACACAAAACCGAGTTATGCAGAAAGAGCCCCCTGGCTTTGCCCATGCAGCGTCCATGCCTGTGCTCTAGGTGTTCCCGGCCCATCCCCCACAAGGACACTCCTGTATCCTGTATCCCAGAGCCCCCTCCCCTCCCGGCCACACCCAGGGTCCGGGCTCCAGTGCAGGCTTCCGGGACAAGGGCACACACAGGGGTGAGCCCTTGTCACCTCCCACAAGCCCCTCACAAGCCCACAGCCCCAGACACCCACTGTCCAGATTTACAACCAGCTGATCTCAAAGCAAGTGGCTGACCTGGGCACTGGTCACACTGGAGGGGCTGCTTTTGGGACACACGTCTTTCATGGGAGGTGGATGTCTTGCTTCTTTCTTCCCCAGCAACGTCGACTCCTGGAGGAAGGGAGTTAGAAGAAGGGCTAGGCTTGGGCCCCCCTCCCCTAAAATTCAGGAGCGTTTGCTCCTCAGGCCACTCTGTGCCACTCCTCAGTGAGTGCTTTTGGCCATCGAGCACCAGGTCCGCCTCTGTCCTCTCCCGGGGCTCCATCCTGCACCCCAGAAGTGGCCTCCTGGGGCGGGCATGTGGTCCAGCCCTCATGCCAGCCAGGAAAGGGAGTCAGGCGTTTGTCCTCTCCCAGAGCCTGAATGCCCTTGCTGAGACCAGCTGATCAGTCCTCACCAGCACTAGTGATAACAGGAAAACCACCCCCATTAAAGCTGGCAGGCTGGCCTTGCTCTGTGCTGCAGACTGTGGGACTTGCGTGGAGGGAAATTCCCCACCCTCTGGCCCCCAACCCCACCCCTGTCTGTTCTTGGAATCTTCCCTGGGCTGGGAGAAACCTTCACACTCCAGAACTTGCTCTCTCCAGCTCTCCCGTCTTGGCCCCCAGGGCTGAGGCCAAGTTCTCTGGACACAGTCTTGTGCCTAAAATTATTTCCTTATGCCTGCAATTTGCCATTTGCACCTTTAAAATACAGAGCAACTGGCCAATTGCCACGGGAGTTAGGTACTTGCAGGTGCAATTAGCATCTCTCTAGCAAAGCAGAGGGAGGGAAGTGGAGGCAGACAGAAAGAGAGGGATCCGAGAGAGGAAATGCAGGAGCGTGCAAGACAGACCCAAGGCTGTGAGAAAGAAACTGTGAGGGGTGGGGAAGAGAGAACAGGAGTGGGCAGACAGGGAGAGGGACAAGGATGGCTAGAAAGAGAGGGGTGTGTACAAAGAAAAAGAAATCAGCAAGCCAAAGCCCTGTCCTAGAGGAGATGCTGGCCTAGAGGAGAGAATGAGCCCAGAGCATGGCAGGAAGACGGACGTGGGAGCCATGCAGGCTGGCTGCAGCTGGGGGGCTTCTTGGGGAAACTGAGCCCCACGAAGGAGTGGGTTTCCAGAAGCAGACAAAGGGAGATGGGCGTCCTGGTAGTGTTCTAGCAGAAGCAAAGGTCCTGAGGTGTGAGAACCCAAGTCTGAGGACTGAGCGAGACTAGCCACAGCACTGTCCAATAGATGTTTCTGCCATATTTCAGGATGGAAATATTCTGCATCAGCGCCATCTGAAGCAGTAGCCACACCAGCCATGTGTGGCTATTAAGGACTTGAAATGTGGCCAGTGCAACTAGGAACTGGTTTTTTATCGTATTTAACTTTAAGTTAAAATGTAAATAGCCACATGGACAGCACAGACTGCTGGGGGATTGCGAATGAGGCTTGGATGCCAGGATAAGGCCCCCATAGAAACTGCCTTCCTCCCAGCCCAAGGGACTAGGGCAGTGGTGCCAGGCACTGGCATGGGGAGGACGCAGGAGGGGCTGGAAAGAATGGGTGGATCCCATGTCTGCGTGTGGACTTGTTCAGTTGGGTGTCGGGGTCACCAGGAGGAGAGGTGCAGTTGGCCTTTGGACATTTGAGATTGAAGCCCCTACTTCTGTCCCTCCCCCCACCCCCATACCTGCACAGGTGTCTCCTGGTGTCCCATTTCGTGAAGGCCCCAAGGTCTGGGAGGAAGAGGGGGCTGTGCATCTTCCTGTCCCTCCAGCCCCATGTTCCCCAGGCACAGACCCAACCAGGACCCCTACCCAACTTTACAGCAAAACAAGCTCTCAGAGAGGTAATCTGGACTAACAGGGTTGCCACACTCACACTCACATGCATTCACACCCACATTTGCAAGCAGACACGTGGTCACGTGCATGCACACACACCTGGGGGGCTTTGGGCGGCTGTTCCTGGTGGTTGCGGGGAGACAGAGGGGCTTTGCGGTATCGGTGTCAGCCCTGTGCAGGCTCTAGGGGTAAGTGTCATCATCAGCTCCAGCAAGAGTCAAGAAGGACAGAGTCCGCAGACGGGAGAGCAAGGTGCAGAGCCCAGAGACCCGCTGCAGGGGTGTATTCTGAACCCAACGGTCACTGGGTCCCTTTCCCTTCCGCACCTTGGGGTGGGCAGGGCTGCAGCCTGGGCAGGGCTGTGAATGCCAGGCTGCATCTGGGGAGGGGCATGACCCCAACACCACACTGTGCCTTGCCCCACCTTGCCCCTGCCATCTCTTTGCTCTCTTTCCTCACCTGCCACCCCATCACACCCCACCCTACCCCAGCCCACTCATGTCTCAGCTCTGCCTGCCTGGCTCTTCTCCTTGCTCCATCTTGGCTCCCTTGTTCCATTTCTCCTCCTCCCTCTCTTGGGTCCTTCCCTGTTTCCTTTCCTCACAGTCTGTGGCCCCTTCTTCTGTGCTAGAACCAGACATTCTAACCCACATGAAACTCCCACCCAAGGACTGCCACGTGGGACTTGCAGAGCATCCATTTCTTTCCCAATATTGGGCCTGCCTGTGAAAGCCCTCCAGACCTGGGACAGGAGGTCCCTGCACAGCAGCAGCAGGATGAGTAGGATCAGCCCCTAGACTGGCAGAGTGACAGCGGACTTCGTAGGTGACACAGGACAAAGGCCCTTTGCAGAGTCCATGTCTCACCATGTGCATATGCATCGGTGCGAGCTCGTGTGCGAGTGTGTGAGGGCAGCAGCTTCCTTCTCAGCATCTGGTCCCAGTGTGCAGCGTGCTGCGCAGGGCGAGGGAGGCACCCCAGAGCAGCTCGCCTTTGGTTGGGCCGCATTTGATGTTACTGGAAAGCAGAGCCCTGTGGCTAACGGTGCGTGACCACGGGGTGCCCTCCATCCCTGGAGTCCTGTGGTGGGATGAGTCAGGGGGCCTTTTCCCTTGTTCCCCCACAGTACTTGATACAGGCCTGGGCACAAAGGGCTGGGTGAGCCAGGGGAGGCCCAGAGATGGTCAGAAGCCTGAGCCTCTGAACTCCAGGTCTGTCTGTCTGTCCGCCCTCTCAAGGTTGATGCTGCCCAAGTCTAGACAGGCGGTGGGGAGGGACAAGCCGAAGACCCCACATCAGGCCACAGAGTTGGGAGGTAGCAGGTGGGCAGGAAGGACATGGCTTCACATATTCAGCTCCAAATCCACCTGCCCCCAAAGCCAGGCAGTGGGACTGCCCCCACCTCCCCCACACTCCATTCTCAGGCTGCACTTCCTCATTTTGTGGACACACACACACACACGCACACACGCTGGCGGAGGCAGTGCTCTGCGTTGATTTCCGCTTGATTTCACCTGTATAACCTCAGGTGCAGAAAGCTCACACAGGGGACCTGCAGATCGCTGCTTGGATTCCTCTCAGGAAAACCCAGTAGTTGTTAGAGGTTGGGGTGGAGGACCCCTAGGGCAGAGGAAACAATAGAAATCCAGACTGTCTGAGGAGAAAAGGAATGCATTAAAGGACGCTAGCTTGATCCCAAGATGAATCTCTGGGGGAACCAGAGACCCAAACGTGGAGGCCTCACAACTGGGACCAGATGCGAAAGCCACCCTGCAGGACTGGCCTGGGGGTCACCACAGTCCTCTCGGCCAGCACACTTGACGCCATGGATGCCGGGCGTGAGGAGCCACCCGAGTCCCGCCTGCAGCTGGCACCCCTGCCGGACGGGGCCCTGCCACCTGCTTCTGCACATGCTTACTTCAGAGCCGCGTCTCCTGTGGCAGCCCCTGGCAGGCTGAGCCAAGTCCGCGGCTGCACCTGCTGCAGAGGAGGCAGGGAAATTTGCCTGTTCCCCGAGGAGGCAGGGACTCCAGAACCCGGATTCCCAGTCAGAGGGAAGGCACCAGTAACCAGAAAGATTGACAAGGGCCCCACACTCCGGCCTGCCCCAGCCCTCTGCACAGGCTGCTCCCAACGACCTGCTCTGCCAGCCCGCCTCTCCAGCCCCTCACCCCTTCTCCTTGGTATCCAGAGTCCACAGCCCCCGCAATTGGCCCCGGGAGCCCCTCTGCCTTGGGGGCCCCATGTCCATGGCAGGTTTCTAGGGCTTGCAAGGCAGGGGTGTCAACAAACCACAGGCTGTGCCTTTCCGGTGACATTTGGCTCAGGCTGGGGCTGAGGTCACCCTCCACGACCTCAGACTCAGAGGGAGAAACACACACCACCAAGCAACCTTCTTCAAAAGGCCTCTGAGAGCAGGCCCCTGGAGCAGCAGAAGGGACCAGGACGGAGCGAGGGGACCCCTGCTGTCTCCTAAGCACAGTGGTGTTGAGGCTGACCCTTCCTGAGCACTCGACACGCACCAGGTGTTGTGCCCAGCTCCGAGCTCCCAAAAGCCAAGCCACGACTTTGTTATGGCCAAGTGACAGATGAGAAAACCCAGGCAAAGGGAGGTTAAATAACTCACCTGTGGCCACCGAGCTACTGAGCAACATACTCAGGGTGTGAACCCAGTCTGGCCCCAGAGTCCTTAACCACTTTGTTATGTGGTCTCTCTGACTGTTTATCCTCTGCACCTCTACTTCTCTCTCTGAAAGATGGGCCCCAGGGGGTCAAAGGATGTGGTGTGGTGAAGGAGGAACCAGCTCATAGTTGGTGACGTTAGGTCTTGATCTGGGCTCTGCCTTCTGTTGGCTGTGTGACCTTGAGCAGTTACTTAACTTCTCTGAGCCTTAGTTTCCTCCCCTGCAATATGGGGCAGTGAGGTCTCTGCAGGGAGTTTGTGGGAGCAGTGCAGTGCTGGATGCTTAGTGCCTAGTGCAGGATGGGGGCTCAGGAAATGGAGGACCCAGGACATTCAAGCCTGAGTCCCTCAGATGGCCCCGCAGATAAGCAAGCTCTGCAGTTCCCCACGCCACCAATCACAGAGAATCTTAGATGCCCAGAGTGGGATGGGAGGCATGGAGTCCCACCTCCACTTCCAGGGAGGTGTCCTTTCCAGGTATCATGCCCATCACCCCTCTCTGGGCCCACTGAAACCACCTCTCTGTGCCCCCTCATCTCCCAGATCCCTCCTGTCCTCAGGAAGCAGCCATGCCCCTTCCCACTCTGAGCCCTGAGGTCCCCGGGACCAGCGCTTCCTTTGAAGAAAGGAAGATGGAAGAAGGCATGCTTAGCCTCACCAGGAATGCTTCTCTCCTGTTGGAATCAAGAGTGTTTAAAGGGGGGAAGGAAGTCCCCTCAGGTCAGAGAAAAGAATTCTTCTCTGAGAAGAATCTCACTCTGGGAGGGCAACACATTTTGTCTTGGGTTACCTTACTGAGCTGTGGTGGCTGCCTGGAACCTGTGTCAAGATTCTGGAAGAGTGTCCTGACCTAATGGGAGAGAACACTGTGATTGATTAGTAATGTCTGCCTTGGGCGTGGGCTAAGCACACACACAGTATGTATGTGCCATTCTGGATCTAAACATCTGCTCATGAGGCCCCAAAACTATTCTCTTCTCCCTGTCCCCCCTAAGTCTTCTCTCCCCCAAAGTTCCCTGGAACCAGGGATCTGTCATCTGGGATATTGCCCAAACAAAACTCTCCACAGCCTTCAACCACTGTCTGCTTGTTTTGTTTCTTGGACATTCCTCCTTTTTTCCTGAATGATGAGGGTCTGGAGCAGCAGTTCTCCAATCAGGACCAATTTTGCCACCCAGGAGACATTTGGCAACGTCTGGAGACATTTTTGATTATCAAAATGCCAGGGTAGGGGGAGGAAGGGAGAGGGGGTGGTTGCTACTGGCACCCAGTGGGTGGAGGCCAGGGATGCTGTTAAGCATCCTGCAATGCACAGGACAGCCCCACAACAAAGAATTATGTGGTCCCAACCATCAGTAGTGCTGAGGTTGAGAAACCCTGGTCTAGAGAATAGACTGCTTTCTTGCCCCTACTAGAATGATCTGTAGGGCTCCCTACACCAACACCCCCGACCTTCCAAGCTGGAATCAACCTCTCTCTCCTCCTTACAGCCTCTCCCATCACTGACCCCACCTGCCCCTCAGGGTGGCCCACGATTCCTTTCAGGATCTCCCTCCACCCCGGGCCTCATCTCTCACCCAAATGTTTCCACCTTCTATTCCCTGCGCTGCCCCCTTCTATCCACACAGCGAATATCTATCCATCCTTTAAAACTCAGATTCGACATCACTTCCTCCAGGAGGATTTCCCTGCCACGCCCTCCAAGAGGACCAATGGAATCAGTTACCCCTCAATGCTACTTCTGTATCTTGCAAAACCCTTTGCTGTTGTACCATCATCCTGAATTGTATTTTTAAAAATTTATTTAAATAACCACTTTCTTCGTAGGACCATCAACTTCCTGAAAGCAGGATGGGCTGTATTCGTTTCCTTACTCCTAGCCCAGCCCAGTGCCTGATACACTGTAAGGGCCCAGTGAAGGAGACGGCTGGGCTGCTGGTCCCGCCATGCCTGGGCCGGATCCCAGGGCTGGCCCCTGCTGGATTCCCCTCAGCAGAGTGGTGAGGGGGGTGGGCTCCCATCCAGCCCCTGCTAGTCACAGCTGAGTGACCTTGGGCAAGATGCTTCACGTCGTCCCCGTGTCTCAGTTCCCTCTGTAAAGTGGAGTAATAATCAACACAATAATCCCACGCAACTGTCATGATTAAATAAATGTATGTGAAGCGCTTAGAGCAGTGCCTGATGCACAGTAGGGGCTCCACAGAGCTAATGCTGATCGCTAGACAATTACCTGACTCACGTTGTAATCCCGCCTTGGGTGTCCTCTGGTTGGTCCATTTCTTCATGGACAATTCCACCTGGGAGCCATGATTGTCTTCCACTGTGGCTGCTACCTATTGGCTGTCCCTAATGTCTTCCTGAACATTCAAATGTGCCAAATGCTCTGGGCTTCTAGGCTGTTCTGATCCCCTTCTCTCCCTGCAGGCCCAGGCTCCCGTGTCCCCCACTGGATCCAAGCCCCCCATAAGCGCTGCAGCACCTAGCAGAGAGCTAGCCTCTTAGATTTACTCTGGAAGGACTTGCTGAGTGAATGAATGACTGATGGGCCTTGTCCGGTGGGAGCCAAGGGCTGCAGGGGAGGGGGAGAGGAGCCTGCGGTTGGGGGAGGTAGGGGGGCAGGCCTCTCCAGAAAGCTCAGGGACTGTTTCCAGGCCGGCTGATTGGTCTTGACAAGCAGGATGGAGGCTGAGCAGCCCCTTGTCCTCTGTACTTTAAAAGGCCAGCGCCCCTCCCAGAATCTTTCCTTGGAGACCTGCTAAAATAATACATTTAGACCTGCCAAACCCAATCGCTTCCGTCTGTCAGGCTCCCTGCAAATAGCACTTCTTAGCAGAGCTCAGCGAAAATACGATTCCAAACAGCATGGGGGCAATCATCCATCAATGGAAGAAAAACATTTTTCCCCTTCCCTTCCACCAGCCCCCATAATTGCATTTTAAAACCATTCCTGTGTTTCTGGGAGAGACACCACGGTACCTGTTGCTTTTTAACTCGGAGCTGAGCGATGCGGCAAAATGAGGCTAAACACAGCAAAGTTATTTTGATTTATTTCCTAACGTCGGAATTTGGAGCTTGCTGCAGGGACTCAGCCGCAAGAAGACGAGATGATGAAAATGTATTTTTCCCTGTCGTTACTCTTTTAAATAGACGCGTGTTTTATTCTTCCTCTTTGCCACTTTGCTGTGCTAGACTGAGCTTTATGGCATCCTGGCATGCCTGCGCTCTGCTGTCAATATCAGAATGGCTGCCCCAGCCTCACTCTCTTCCTCCTGAGGCAGAGAGCTGCAATCTGCCCCCTCCCCACACCCCCCAACCCAAGAGACCTTCGCCTTCAGGTTCGGCGTTGCCCTCTCCAGGGGCCAGGTTTAAAGTAGAGCTCCTCCTGGGGGTGCAGGGGGATGTCACCACGGCATCGTTGGGAATGAGCCTGTAGCATCCTTTCTTCTCTGACTGGGAGTCAGGGGGGACCAAGGGGAGGGAGCTATGATGGAGCCAGAAGGAAGGAAAGGAGAGAGAAGGCGGATTTGAAGACAAAGGTGGACAGCGCCATCATTGGCCATTGCCCAAACCACACCCGCCAGTGAGTTTAGAATCAAGGAACCCTGGATTTGACTCCTGACTCCATTACCTACCAGCTGGGAAGTGGCCTCTGCAGGGCCCCACCTGCAGAGCACGTGAAGTGTACCCTGCCTCCCTGACCTGTGAGATCCAGGTCTTTGTGTCCAACACGATGACCAGAAGAGCCTGGGCCCACCTTCAAATCCCCAGTAACTCCTGGGGGCTCACTGGGGCTCAGGGTCCAGGCCATCTGCCTCTGGCTCCCGTGGCCAGGGGCTCTCCTTCAGGCTGGAGCAGACGTGGCCGAAGATGATGGGGCGTCCGGGCGTTGTTCCAGTGCATCGCACCCTCTCACCAGCTGCCTCCCTCCCTTCCCCCGCTCTCCCGGACAGCTGCAGATGCATGCCCTTCCATGCAGAGCAGCGTCCCTTGCTCTGAGGGGGCTCCCTCCCACACGGAAGGTGCCTCCGCAGAATTTCCTCAGCAGAGACTGTTCTCTCCCTGAGAGGAATTCCAGGGCCAGCGGCTAAGGTTGTTTTCTGCTTGAGAATGAAACGAAACGATTTATTTAATCAGCGGATAGAGGTGCCTGGCTCAGGACCCTGTCCCCACAGGGCTCGGTTTGGGGAAGGGGAGGCCCAGCGAGAACCAAGGAAGCCCCGCTCTGGCCTGGAACAGGCCTTCCCCTGAGAACTGAGCCCTGCAGCCCCTGCAGGCTCCCACACCTGAATGTTCACCTGCACACCTGGCTGGGGTCCCCCGACCCCTCTTGAGTCTCTCTTTGCAGCCTCAGCCTGTGAGGAAGCCATCATGGTTCCCCTCCAGCCCCACAGGCGCTGCAAAGCAGGATCCATGCTTCAGACCCACGTGGCTTCTTGAAGGCTGAAGCTGAGGACAATTCCTCCTCCTGGGGAGGTGGCTGGGAAGAGCACTGTTCTGGGAGTCAGTCCAGCTATGCCTTCCCCAACATGTACAGCCTTGTGGGGGCCCAGGCACACCCCTGAGCTCCGGTTTCCTCGTCTGGTCAACGTCTACCCTGACTGTGACCGACCGCAGGGCCTGCCCAGTGCACACGTTCCCTGGCACGTCCACTCCTCTCACAAGGCAATGCCGGGCCCTTCTGTGAACGCAACATTTCCCAGCTTGCAGCATTGGTGGAGAGGGTGTGCCATGTCCCTCTGCAGATGGAGACAGGTGAAGCCTGAGAGCCTGAGCAGCAACAGTTCCCTCAGCTGCTGCTCAGAAGACCCCGGCTTTCCCAAATCCCGGGCTGTCTCCTGAGCACCTGTGTGGATGGAGAAGGAGGCCTCCACGCAGCCGCAAGAGCTGCTTGCCAACCGGCTCTCAAGGGCAGGCCCAGCGGGTTGCCACGGAGACGCCATTATTAGCGGAGCTAACGGCAGGTCTGTGCAGCTCGAAGCACAGATAACAGGCCCTGGAGTTCCCACTGCAAGCGGTCCACTCCCTCAGGGCAGGTCGCCACCCCCACTCCTCGTCCACCACTGCCCCAAAGGGCCCCGAGCAGATTCCCCAGCTGCCTGCATCCATGATTCTCCCTTTACCCCTAGAAAACTATGTGAGCTTGGACAAGCCACCCGGCCTGTCTCCCACTCAGCTCCCCAACTACAAAATGTGGATCCCTCATGGGGTGTGATGAGGGTTAAATAAGGTAATCTCCATGAAGTGCTCACAACTGTGCCCACCCAGAAGAAGAACCCAGTAAATTTGAGCTATGCCTGTCCAGCCCTGTTCCCTCTGAGGCCAGCGAGGATAAGAATCCAGGGCAGGAACTGCGGGGCCCTGGCTGTCACTTAGGCCCCCCGCCTCTGTTCTATGTATTTAAAACTAATCTCTGCTTGTGCTTTTCCCACCCCCCTGAAACACCCATCCCCCTCCGGTCCCCAAATGACATCCTGACCCCAAAGTCAGGCTTGCAGCATCGAGGAAGCCATCCTCAGGTCCTCAGGCTCCAGCGAGAGTACTCACCTAAGGGGTCCCTCCTCTCTCACGCCTGCGGGCATTTCGTCGGCCTGCAGCATCTCTCTGACTAGTTGATTCCTCATTTCTGGTCTTGACCAGCCTCTCCTCTGAGACTGTGCACTTGCTGAGATCAGGGCAGGCTCCGCCTGCTAGCATCCTGGCCTGGCCAGATGGCTGGCCTCACCCTCCTTGGGGCGGTCACGAGCTCACCCAACACAGGGGTGTGGCAGCCCTCTGTAAACAGGCTGGGAGATGAAGTTTAGTAGATCGCAGATCCTGGCCCCAAATGCCCACCTGCGAAACAGGTGAAGTGACACAGTAGCTGCTAGTTATGGGGGTTCGCCACATGCAAAGCCCTGGGCTTTCTTGTCTCATTCTAGCCTCACAAGCGTACTTTTCAGGTGAGGAAACACAGGCTCAGGGCAGCTGAGTAACTTGCCTAAGGTTACACAGCAAGTTGCAGAGTAGGATCTTCTAGAACTCAGGCCCGCCTGACCCACAGTTGGGAATCTGAACTGCCTTGAATGCACAGAAAGAGAAGCCAAGGGCTCCAAGGCCAGAAGCCAGGGTGCAGCTCTGCCACCATCACACAAGGCAGGCCCAGAAGCCTCTGCCAGGGCTCCTGGCCCTGTCTGGGACTCCTGGGACCCGATTAG